CCAGATGCAGCGCATGTACTACTCTGACAAAGACGGAAAGTTTTGATGTCTCGCCAACGACGAGCAGAGTTTTCAGCTGGAGCGCATCTATCTCTCGATGTTGTTGGAATTTGCCCTCTAGCGACCTTTGAACACTGAGGATTGACAAGCCTCTTGATCGTATAGCGTAGAAAGCTGATTTTCATTCAACTTTGCAGCACAGTGAGCAACCAGACCAAGCAGTGCACTTCTTGTGTAGGTTTTGGTGGGAAATGCACCAGGCCTTTGCTTTCTACCATTACATGCCTCTCTTCATGTCTTCTCCCTTCATGGGAGACGCAGAGTTGCGGCGGAATTCGCTGGCCCCGCCCTGTCATTGGAATCCAATCACTTGCGCCACGCTAGAGATTCCGCAGATCCGTTAAGAGATCTGCGGGTCAGGTGATGGTCAGGCGATGCCTCGGTCCTCGGGATGGCACCGACCGTCGGAGTGACCACCCTTGGATCCGTTGAGCGATTCGACCAATCGAGACGCGTCGATTCCGCGCAGAAGGTGTGTCCAGTCCAGTTCAGGACAGGTGGAGGCCTTGCATGTCTCGGATCACGGGTGAGTGGCACTTTGTTGGGAAGATGAAGCTCATTTTTTGGGAAACTGTCCTGTGATCCGCTTTCATTTATTGGAGGTTTGCTGGATTCAGTATCCAGCAGTTGCCCGGCCATCAGTATCCAGCAGTTGCCCAGCCAGGCCGGGGGAGGAAACCCTGAAGCCCATGGTTAGGCAACTGGTACTTGAGATAGGAAGAGGTCCGCCACAAAAGCGATTCAGGATTCCCAAACACGACCCCTTGACCTATTTTACAACATTTCTGTATTTGATGAACTGTAGACATCGTTGCAGTAGAGAACCTCTAGGTGGACACGGGGCACCATTTCGACTCAAACTTCTCACCTCCCAGTAACATCGAAAGGTGACGCACTAGCTGCAGGCTTGCTGAGAAAGCTATATAACTGGAAAACTGGAAAACACCAGCTGTGGAATTTTGGGAACTTTTGAATTTTGGGGAATATGGATAAGTATATTGTGGATGAATGATGATACATTATGATAAATGAACATATATAGTAATAGTACCGACTACAAAAAACTAATGGGTTGATGTGGGTGGCACAATCAGTCATTCTGAAATTAGCATCATGTAATTATAGCTGTTGCCCCCCCCGACCTACTGCTACCACCTCTGTCGCCCATCCAGCCGGTCTCTTGGTGGCGGACCTTTCAGCCTGGAGGCAGTTCCATGTCTTACGACCCCACCCTGTGGGCGCGTAGGGAGCTGCTTCGACCCACTTATGCCAAGTGCAAAAAATTGATCCAATCATGACAACACCCTTTTCAACTTGTTCTGGTAGAGTCTAACGACCAGTGTTGCCAGGAGTGTACTCTGCAGTCACGAATACAGGGACTGCATGACGAGAGAGCGCCTTTGAAGCAGTATATCACACAGTACTGGGGTTCTAGGCTGTGAGCCAAACCCCTGGTCAGTCCAGCAGGCTCCAAAACCGCAGCCGCCTTGGGCTGATACTGTTTGAAACTCGCACAACGGACTCGTCTGTTGCAGCGCTAATTCATCACCTGACGTTTCAGAATGGCGTCAAACTAAGCTTAGCCGGCATGGATTGCGGCCATCGGAAAGTTCGTGGCAGCACGACCATTTGCAACACTTTGCCCATACTTCCTGCCGTCCAGACAAATCGTAAAAATAGTATAGTAGTAGAACGTTTGCTTCCTGCAGAGATACTGGTGGATAGGTCAATAGATGCTCTATCAGATGCAGTCCAGTGAAAAATCGATCTATATCAATTTTGCTGTCACTGGTGGTGCTTCCGCGTTCTCCGATTGAGCTGAGATCGCTCCTACCCTCCCTAGCCAGCGAAGAATCAAAGCGTTGGCGCACGGTGGCGCGCGGGGTCAGGTGTCAACGGGGTGGATGATTGGAGACCTGTGGTGCCGTTTGGGGTTCCTCTTGGAGACAGATTCCCCATGGCCTCCACCCTAGTAGCGATGGCCTCCAACCTACTAGCGATGGCCTCCAACCTACTAGCGACGGCCTCCACCCTAGATGCGATGGCCTCCCCCTAGTAGCTCCAACCTACTTACTAGCAATGGCCTCCACCCTAGAAGCGATGGCCTCCACCCTGGTCTGCGATGGCCTCCCCCTAGTAGCTCCAACCTACTTACTAGCGATGGCCTCCACCCTGGCCTCCACCCTAGATGCGATGGCCATGGCCTCCCCTAGTAGCTCCAACATGCTCCAACCTACTAGCGATGGCCTCCACTCTAGTAGCGATGGCCTCCACCCTAGTAGCGATGGCCTCCACCCTAGTAGCGATGGCCTCCACCCTAGATGCGATGGCCTCCCCCTAGTAGCTCGAACCTACTTACTAGCGATGGCCTCCACCCTGGCCTCCACCCTAGATGCAATGGCCTCCACCCTAGATGCGATGGCCATGGCTCCAACCTACTTACTTAGCGATGGCCTCCACCCTAGTAGCGATGGCCTCCACCCTAGCATCGATGGCCTCCACCCTAGTAGCGATCGCCTCCACCCTAGATGCAATGGCCTCCACCCTATTAGCGTTGGAGACAGATTCCCCCCCCAAATATGGAAATTCCTTGCTTTCGCCGGGGTCAGTCACCAAGAGCACAAAGAGAAAGCTGGCTTTGGAGCACAGCACTAACTATGCAGTTGCGTCGTTTACTGTTCGTGTGAGTCGTGGGACATCTCCTTTGCCTGGCTGGCTCAGAATTGCTTAGATGAGACAACCCATGATGAATGCACATCTGAGAAGATGAATGCGACACGGCCATATCTGAAATAGCATGTTTGTCAGCATAGACTCGTTCTCCAAAAGCGATGGAAGGAATGACGCCTCGTTCCCGGAAGGTACCTTGGTGCACTGATCCTCAATCCGAGTATATATAGATCCTTCATACTGAGGGTGTCCAAACTGGGCCAGTGGGTCCGAAGGCCAACTTAAAGTGTAAGCCGCTGGTTGCGAAACCAATTCGTGAAGCCGCTGGTGTTGCACGAAGCCTCGCGAAGCCACCCTTCCCACAAATTCTGACTCAGCGAAACCCCCAGGCGTAGGCAACCCAGCAGTGTATAGGCACTGTACCTGGAAAAACACGGCTCATGAACCTCTGGGTGAGTTCTTGATTTCCCGAGATTGAGCTTTCGGGCATGGCCTCTGACGGCCCGCTTCGCTTTCTCGCCTCAGGTGAGCGATGACATCAAGACTCCAGGCCACGGGAGTTGATTTTGTTCTTCGCAATCGACCGGGGCACTGAACTGGAGGTGGGGTGGATTCCATTTTTGGCTCAGAAAGGTGGGCACTTTCCGAGGATGTGCTGTTTTGTGCCATGTCATGGTCATGCATACACTTGAATCTGGTGGTGAAAATGCGAGTAGTTGAGGACCTACGTGCACTGAACTCCCCACTGGTTTGCCAGGGCAAAAGTGCACAAAGGTTCTGAAAGTGAAGTTGAGTAAGTTGAGTACTGAACAAGTTCACGACACTGAGCCTGCGTTCGAGCACTCACATGCAAACACATGCATTCCTTTTAATTAAGCTGAGGCAGTAGAATAAGTTTCAATATGACTGTAATTTATGATTTCTTGACTCTGTTCTTGAAATTTAATAGAGGTGCTGAAATGGAGATTCATAAAATGATATCAACATTATCATTACTGTTGTCAATCTTATTTAAACATCGTATGCCAGGCTTGATATGACACATAATGCACCATACATTATCCTGAAAGAAGGGCATGGATGTGTCGTGCGATCTGCAGATATGTCGCCGCAAGGCGGAGGAAGGGAGACCCGCCTGGCCCAATGGGTTGGGGTCGTGGATGGTCGAGGTTTCCGCATGTTTCCACACTTCCCAGTCAAACTGATTCGAGCTACACAGCTACACCGATGAATTCCCATCTAGGACACCAACAGCCCCCAGGCTCCCGAGCCGAGCGGAACGAGAGTGAGCGGGCGAGCGAGCGCAGTGAGGTCTGGACCCCAGCACCTAAGTGGGTTGAAAGATGAGAAGTCAAGTGTGTGTTCATACCTGGATCTTCCATGATCTTCCAACTATGCCGCAATTGCTGCGGAACTTGGCTGGTTTTATAGATGACCAGGGACAGTTGGAAGATCCAGGTATTTGTGACCAAAGAAGACAACATGCAGGCACTTGGACTATTATATACACACTTTATCGAAGCTGATGACATCTGAAGCCCCACAAAGCTAGACAAGTCCTGCTTCGTGTGACGTCTTCTCCTTTAGATCTGGAGTTTTGCTGCTACAAATCTTCGATCTTTTTGACCGGATACTAGTAACAAGTGCCTTACTAGTAGTAACAAGAACGCTACTAAGAACACGTGCTCGAGCTTTTGCCTAGGCGGCCACACCGTGGAGGCATGTGGCCTTTTTTGGCCTCGCCGGTGGTGACGCTCGGATCGTGATCCAACGGAAGATCCTCCCGGTGTGAAACTCGAAATCCGAGGGCGTGAGGCCGACCAACAGGGGCTATAGAACTTGTTTGCAGGTTTTTGCAACCCTTTTGGGCGCAACGATGTGCCACTCACAGCTGCTTGTTTTCTTCGCATTGATGCCGCAGAAACATCATATCATTGCACCTTGCTGCATTGCTTGTGACAAGAATTACAGTTGTCAGCTTGATTACGTAGCGTTGTACCTGTGCTCGTAAATGGAGTTTGGGGGTTGTTTTGATGCCATGGCTGCTTTGATGATTTTTGATGATATCTTTTCTGTGACCTTCCGCAAGGCTTGAATCGTCCTCTTCGAGCTGTAGAAGAGACTTCAACACAATGAGCAGTTTTACAGTTTAACAGACACGACCATATTTTGGAAGCATAGAGAAGCTAACACTGTCACTCACTAACCCCAAACTCCTTTTTTTAAATAAAGTTTCGGCACGTTCAAGGTTCGCCCAGCTCAACAGTTCAGCCGAGCTCTGCACTCTCTCAAGCCAAGCCCGCCATGTCGGATGCTGACTATGTCAAGGCCTACGAGGCCAACGGTTCGGGAACCTGTTGAGTCTGCGGATGGCACCGAAAAGGAGAAAGATCCAAGCACCTTGGAAACCGACTTCCCGACCAAAGGGTGTGATCTTTGGAATCCACCCAATGCGCAAAGGATCCACGCAAAGATGGGCGAATCATTGCAGTGAAGATCGGAGAATCAGGTCGGACATCCCTTGGTTTCCAACATGACTCTGGATTCCTATATATATATATGTACATATCTTATATCTAAAAAGACTTATATATCTATTTATTTATTTGACTCTTTTTTCTCTCTATGTTTTGTAGGCCTTTAAATCCGGCAACGAACGGAACCGGTTCGACCGTCGCAGCGTGGACCGTGCAGGACTTCCTGGCGATGGGCCTCCAGGGAGCTGCCATCCAGGTTGATGGAAACGGCCGAAACTGGGCAGACGCAAGGGGGGCGCTGTTGGTCAGTCTGTCAAGTCTGTCAGTTGTTCTTTGTTTCACTTTGTGGTTGGACTCGGAGGTGCTCTTTGGAACAAAGTAAGGTGAAGGGTGTTGAACTCTGGGGTACTCTGGGCCTGGGGGAAGTCCTAATCCTTTTTCCTTCCAGATGGGTTTGTGGATGCAAAGCACGCATGCAAATCCCACACCGCCTTTTGATACCAGAGGGTCCAGGGCCATCCGAATCGGATGCCCTTAGACCATTCTGATTGAAGTACTTCCGAAAAAGAGGCTTAATGACAACACTGGCCACTCTACCCTCCTGCACCAAGTTCCAGCAACGAATTGCACCGTCACCTTTTTCAATACGACCCTACAGCGACGGCAAAGCGTCGGCCGCGGCCGGCAGGTCTTGCTGGAAGGCTTGGCAGCTACCAACAGCCCACGGCTTCAAGAGCTCGGGGCCTGGGGCAACGGGCCGCGGAAGAGACACACTTTTTGACATGTTTGGTATGTCTTGCGGCTAGAGGTGATTGCAGACCTTGGCCTTAATGCACAAAGGGGCACGTTGAAATAAAGGGAATTGCTTCCCAATTGTGAATAATTAGCTACTGTTCAACAGGATAAAACTTTGACATGACAACAGACTGGGTGTGAGAAGTTGCGCAACACTGGTGTTCGGTGGGTCCGGCGGTATCACGTGGAAGTGCTAAGTCATTGCAGTGGTCCAATATAGTCTAGTGCACAGAATAGAGAAGGCCTGCATAGGTCTACATGATAGTCTAATGGCCTACATAGGTCTACAAAATGTACAGGTGGCCTAGCAAATCATGTTTTGGACACATGTTTCCTTCGGTGGTGTCTATACCCTGCGCATCCCGCCGCTGAGGCTTGCGCGCAGAGATGCTGTTCCATTGCCCGAGGCATTTAACTGTTCACTTCTTTTGTGTGTCGGAGTTCTGGCAATTGCAATCGATTGACCTTATGATTTTGTGTGGATGAACATGCAAAAGATGTGTCGACCAACTGCTCACTAAAACAAGCAAGCTTCTCCTTGCTCTCAGACTCACGAACATGGTGCCGTTTGGGTCAGGGACATGGGCACTAGAAAAGCCCGGCTGACATCCAAGTAGGCCTTTCAGCGAAGCAAGGCCTTGGGCCATCTTGGGCCTATCCAATTCCCTGTAGCTGGTCAGCAAAGCCCAGTAAAGCCAGTGTTGAGGAATTTGTTCTCGAGTTTGCACGCATCAACGCCATCACTGGAATCAGGAATCCTGGGACTTGGATAGGCTGGAATAGATTGATCGAAGACGCTCAGTTTTTGCACTTCTTTCGATCCAAGCACCAGGCCAAGCCAAGCCAAGGCTATGACGAGAATCCCTTCCAGGCAGCCACCGTGCTGCGAGTCGTGGGATGACCACTCACTCGCACTAGGAACAAGTGCATCGCTACTAGTAACAGGTGCCACGCTAGTAG